CCCCAGCCCCACTCCAGGCCGGCGAACGGCTGCAAGAGTTTTTCTCCCCCTAAGTGCTGTAATGTTTTCTAAGGCTCAACTCAGGGCAGCAGTCCAAGGCCAGGTCTACCAGTATAGTGGACTGGGGTGGGGTGGGTAGGTCTGTTCTTTGGAGGCCAGGTCTACCAATATAGTGGACAGGGCTTGGTAGACTTGTTTTCTGGAAGCCAGGTCTACCAATATAATGGAAAGGGCTTGGTAGACCTGTTCTCTGGAGGCCAGGTCTACCAGTATAGTGGACTGGGGTGGGGTGGGTAGGTCTGTTCTTTGGAGGCCAGGTCTACCAATATAGTGGACAGGGCTTGGTAGACTTGTTTTCTGGAAGCCAGGTCTACCAATATAATGGAAAGGGCTTGGTAGACCTGTTCTCTGGAGGCCAGGTCTACCAGTATAGTGGACTGGGGTGGGGTGGGTAGGTCTGTTCTTTGGAGGCCAGGTCTACCAATATAGTGGAAAGGGCTGGGTAGACCTGTTCTCTGGAGGCCAGGTCTACCCTCACAGAGGACAGCATTTTCTGTAATGAAATTTGACTTGATTCTGTTTTCTCTTATAATGTGTAAATTATTCTTAAAATATAGTGTAAATACAGTTTAAAATAATTCATTCTGAGATTTTACAAGGTTATGGAGATAATCTAAAAAACCAATTTATGAGATAGTCAAGTGTAGACTCGCTCACAACCTTAAGGCTACTAGTATTTTTGCTCACAACACTTTGGAGTTTAGAGGGTACATTGCTTGGGACGGCACCCTTTTGTGATGCAGACTAAAGGTAGCCTATTTGAATGGTTCCCCAGACCTAGAAAAATACCTCTGAGAGAAAACTGAGTTGGAATCCCTTCTCCCTCAAATGCTACCTTCTCACAGGTAGGGAGGGATTTTTAAACACGGGGGAGTATTCAAACATGCAGCCTCCCACATGTATTTAGCAGGAGAAAAGATGGGATGAGATATGTGAGTTTTTTAAAAAAACAAACAAACCTGTAAATGCTCCTGTTTCTGGAAGTCATTTCGTAGAAAAAGAGGTGCAGGAGGTCATTAGCATAACTCATTTGCATAGTCCACTCCCCCTGACATCACCGGAACTGTGTCAGAAGGCAACACCCACCGCTCAGGCTCCACTGGACTGTTTTGGATTGCTAGCTATTGGGGGGGGGACGCACAGATCTGCCCTCGCAGAGGAGGGAGAGCTTGTACCTGAAGGGGGGGGGGCTCTGCAACTTACCTGGCTGCTTCTTGCTCTGACTGAGGGCTGCTGGGAGCAGGGGGCGGGGCTTGTTGCATGTGCCCACCCCCTGGGCTCCTTACTGCCGGAGCTCCGCTCCTGTGCGCTCCCGCAGGAAATGACCCCTGGATATGCGGCATACATTTAGTAGCATTTTCTTCCCTTCAGATGGGGACGAGGATGAGGACGAAGACGATGAAGACAAAGCTGGCCCCCCAGGAGAATATGAAGAGAACGATGAGGAAGAGGATGACGGTTCAGACTTGGGGGAGGGTGAGGTTGAAGAGGAGGAGGAGGAAGAGGAAGTGGGCCTTTCATATTTGATGAAAGAAGAGATTCAGGTAAATTATGTTCTCTTATTCCAATCCAGGAGGTTTAACTTTGTTTAACTTCTAAAAAATAGCTAAAGATATTCAGACTGGCTGTGCGAGTGCTAAACGCAAGACGGAGCACAAAGCTTGCTTTTTAGCTGTAGTCCTTTTGTTAGGGTATTTCAGGATAGTCGGACACATAGAATCACAGAATCATAGAATGTTAGAGTTGGAAGGGACCTTGCGGGTCATCTAGTCCAACCCCCCGCACTCTGCAGGAGCACAGCCGAAAGAGAGCCCTGCAACATACCCGAATGAGGGTCGTCCAGCCTCTGCTTCACTGCCAGCGAAGGAGCATCCACCACATCTCGAGGCAGACTGTTCCACTGCTCAACCACTCTTAGAGTTAGGAAAGTTTCTCCTGATATCTAGCCGGTAACGACTCCCTTGTAATTTCCACCCATTAGACCTAGTCTTGCAATCTGGAGCAAGAGAGAATAGATCTGCTCCATCTTCTACATGACAGCCCTTCGAATTCTTGAAGACTGCAATCATGTCCCCTCTAAGCCTTCTCTTTCCCAGGCTAAACATACCCAACTCTTTCAGCCTCTCCTCGTAAGACTTGGATTCCAACCCTCTCACCATCCTGGTTGCCCTCTTCTAATGGGTGGAAATTACAAGGGAGTTGTTACCGGCTGAATATCAGGAGAAACTTCCTAACTGTAAGAGTGGTTGAGCAGTGGAACAGACTGCCTCGGAAGTTGGTGGAAGCTCCTTCGCTGGACGTTTTCAAGCGGAGGCTGGACGGCCATCTTTCGGGCATGTTGTAGGTATGTAGGACTGTCTTCCGGCTCTGCTCCTGCAGAGTGCAGGGGGGTTGGACTAGATGACCTGCAAGGTCCCTTCCAACTCTATAACATTCTATGATTCAGCCTGGCATAGCAATTGACAGCCCCCCCTCCCCGCACTCCATAAAAGGGGGTGCTGAGCAATCTCTCTTCCCCGTCCCCATTCCCCCCACTGCTAAAGAGAAAGGAACAAATACCTCCAGAAACTAACTTAAACCTCATACCATGAGCATAATATACAAATGGAGGGAAGGAATTTGATCCCATGGCCCAGTGGTAGAGCACCCGTGTGGCATGCAGAAGGTCCCAGTTCAATTCCTGACATCTCCAGTTAAAAGAATCACGCACTAGGCGAAAGGCCTCTGCCTGAGAACCTGGAGAGCCAGTCAGTCTCAGTAGACAGTACTGACCTCGATGGACCCGGGGTCTGATTCAGGATAAGGCAGCTTCGTGTATTCATATGATGCCTCTGCTTTGAGTGGTGGAAGAAGGAACTTTCACACTTACATCTCAGCAGACGGGTGCAGTTTGAGTCTATAGATTGGGAAGGGGAGACTGAAGGGGTCTCGGTTGGAAGGGAGACTGAATCCATATATGGCTGTTTAAAGAAAAAAATCTACTGGTGAACGTATATATATATGTATATATATGAAATTACTGGAAATTTTGAAGCCACAGGACCAAAGACTAGGGTTTTCCCCCCCAAGGAAAAACAGACATTTGGGGGAAATCGAAAAATATGCAACACTTAACCTTTCCTGTTCTTTTACTGATTTTAACAACATAAAGTACCTTGTTTGTAACAGCATATAAAATCATCCTATTTGGCCTATTTGTTGATGGAATTTATTTATTTATTTATTTATTATTTTGATTTATACCCCGCCCTCCCCGCAAGCAAGCTCAGGGCAGCTTATAGTAATTGGTACCCTGTACCATAAAAACCACGCACATAATTTAAACAACTTACAACAACAACATTAAGCATTAAAAACAGTCCAACAATTAACAATTAAAATGCTAGTGATGGTACTCTTTAATGGAAATCATTGCATGATTCAGATGGCGTACTAACAATTTTATCGACATCGATGATCTTCGGCTTGGTGCGATAATATAACGCAAACTCTTCCCGGGGCCAGAGCCAACCCAAAACCACAGATGGTGGTGTTGGTGGTGGAGGAGTGGCGGCTCCTAATCGAAAGCCTGGTGGAAGAGCTCCGTCTTGCAGGCCCTGCGGAACTGCAAAATGTAAGGGTATCAACATATGCGTTTATTATAAGAAAATATACCCGATAACATGAAAAAGTTGCAGACTGCTGCACTGTAAGGTGCACGAAAAAATACAAATTAACGACAGACAAGTCCCTTGAACCAAGTGTTAAGCCTCAAGGTCATCCTGGGCTGGTGCTGGTTCCGCTGGTATGGCTTGCATAGGAACCAACAGCTGTAAACCACGGGCGTAATAGCCAAGGGTTCCGTATACCTGCAGAAAGAAGAGGGGCAGATGCTCAGCCCAGATTTTATTCAGCTGAATTAAATATTCCCGGTTCCTAACCTCTAAGACTAACTGATGAATAAACCTACTTCAGGCAATTTCAGATCCCATTTTGACAATATTTATTTATTTATTTATTTATCAGATTTATACCCCGCCCTTCCCACAAAGCAGGCCCAGGGCGGCTTCCATACAAGCATAAATACAGTTAAAATCATACAGTTATTTAAAACACAACAGAGTAAGCAAATACAAACACAAAGTGCTGGCGGCAGTTAAAAGACTAACTTAGATGGCTCGTTTTCAAAATGAATTTCCGCTTCCCAGATGTTCTCAGATGTTCTTCTGCTCATTTCTTGTGGCATCGGCTCGATGTTAAAACCGCACAGCCAGGGCTCTACGGCAGTGGCGGCCCCTAATTAAATGCCTGGTGGAAGAGCTCCGTCTTGCAGGCCCTGCGGAACTGTGAGAGATCCCACAGGGCCATGATCTCCTCCGGGAGCTCATTCCACCAGGCAGGGGCTGCCGCTGAAAAGGCCCCGGCCCTGGTAGTAGCTAGCCTGGCCTCCCTCAGGCCAGGGAGGGTCAACCGATTTTGAGACCCTAGCTGACAATAGTTTGTTGGGTTGGGCCACATTTAGATAGTCACACTAACCGTAGTTATTTTAATTAAACCGTGGTTTGCTGTGAAGTCTGAACTGAGTCTCAGTTTTGCAAGGTTTAGTTAAGTGGCGGCTTTGTGAGATCAGATTTCTGAGAACTTTACCTCCCTTTTCCCCACAAGGATGAAGAAGATGATGATGATTATGTTGAGGAGAGAGAAACTGAAGAGGAGGAAGGTAAGTTTCATAGCCAATTAACATTTTAACAAAGGTACATTTGATTTTTTCAAGCTTCTGAACTTTACTGAGCCTGAGTTTGCAGTCCCATTGATCAACATTACAGAGATCCATAGTGCAGGGCTGCATTGAAAGCTTTCTATTTGCTCAAACATATCAGTGATTTAAGTTTTAACACAACCTATTGTCAAGTTTTATGAAGTCTTTACAGTTGGGAAAATGTAGGGGTGGGTCACAAGCAGTATTCCCACTAAGCTGAGTCAGTGTGAGCGAGCTCACAGTTTTTTACCCTCCGGCTCACACATTTTTGTCCTTGCTCAGGAAGGATGGCTCCAAAGCAAACTAACTGATGCAGCAGCCAAATTGCTGGCTCACAACTTTCATGCCAGTAGCTCACAAAGTAGATTTTTTGCTCACAAGACTCCACAGCTTAGAGGGAGCATTGGTCGCAAGGGTTTTTACTTAGCCCCTGAAATGCTCTAAATTGTAACTTGCATTCTGTAATTTATCCACAAGAGTGCAGAATTCTTCAGAAGTATGTTTAACATGTTTGTGCAGTCAGCTGAGGATTTTCTGATCTGTTAGAGACAACAGGAATGCACAGCAAAAGCAGACCTGTGTTAACTTGAAGCTGTCCTATGTAACTTGTGACCCACCAAATACTCCATAAGCCTCCTGCTCTTGCATCCTTCTTTGAATTGCTAAGGGTAGGGGGCAGGATTGGCAGGCCTTTGTACAGCTTCTGGGGCAAACTCGTCTCAGTGAATCACTCTGTTTCTCATCAAGTGATTCTGGAATTGTTTTCTTGTTTGACTGTTTGGGGATCTGTACTGGACAATTCCCACGGTGGGGTGGAAAGGAAGGCACCTGACCCGATTAAATGGCAGCGTAGGATAAGAAAGCTGGTGTGTGTATCGTTGTATCTCGTACTAAACTAACTGGCCCGTGTGGAATAGGTCACCCAGTTTGGTGTAGTGGTTAAGTGCGCGGAGTCTAATCTGGGAGAACCGGGTTTGATTCCTCGCTCCTCCACTTGCACTTGGCTGGATGACCTTGGGCAAGCCGTAGTTCTGATAAGAGCTGTCCTTGAAAAACAGCAGTTTCTGTCAGAGCTCTCTCAGCCCCACCTGCCTCCCAGGGTGTCTGTTGTGGGGTGGGGAAGGGAAAGGAGTTTGTAAGCCGCTCTGAGACTCCCTTGGGTAGTGAAGGGCGGGGTATAAATCCAATCTCCTCTTCTTCACAGACAAGGTTGGTCTATCTATATACTTGGGGGGCTTATCAGGTGTGTAGAAAAAGACTTCGTAAATTAATCCAAAGAGGTTTGGGGAGCTTCAGGTATTTCCAAATTAGGACCGAATATGAAGGCGCTGAATGTTGAGGGCAACTGAGTGTCAGTGAAAGGAGAAAAAAAGGAAGAGAAATCGGCTTGTCCAGACATCCTGGAGCTTAGAAATCCAAGGAGAAGATTTTAGGGGGCATGGTGCAATTTCACAGTGAAGCCCCCCCCCCCATATTTCACTGCTGGTTCTCTGTGTTTCTGTTAGATATTTAACAAAATAAAGATTCTTAAAACCTCACTGTAGATGCTATGGAATGCCCATTTTTGTTGTGTGTATTCTTATGGTACGTGTATTTAGTTATTGAAACATTTATATCTCGCCTTCCCTCGTGATTCGCAATAATACATCCAGAAGTTGATGAAAATAGGAATGTGTTTAACATATTTCAACCCCAGTATTTACTGTTGGATTGAACAAATGTGAACTTTTTTCCCCCCTCAGCTGACAGCATCCGAGGGGAGAAGAGGAAACGTCCAGCAGAGGACGAAGGAGAGGAGGAGGACGACTAAGTTGTAGGAAACAAAATAGGACCAGATACACTATGTTTGTTGCAGGATATGCAGTAGTGATATGCAGGCTTGTATGTCTCCATGTATCATAGGTATCCCTACAGAAAATATTAATGTGTTAACTTTTTATAGGAAGTGTGTTTTTACTATTTTGCCCTTTTTATCATTCCAACTAAGACATAATAGCCCATTATCGATCATGTGCATAGAACACTGTTTTTATCCCTTTAAATCACTGAACCCGTTCCCCCCTTAGGTGTTTTTTCAGGTTTTTCCTACTGAGTTTTTACATGCTGTTAGTCCTAGACACAGTTAACTCAGACAGATTCTACACATTTTAATCCAAACTTTTGAGATCGTATTCTTTAAAGTCAGATATACTGCAATGTGATAGAAAGGCCTGTGTCAGACATGAACTGGGAACTTTGTGAAAGTAAAGAATGCAGATACTACTGAAGGGGCTCGTTTTAAAGGGAAGTCTGAAGAATGCACGGACAAGCTGAGGTCCCACATTTCCTGCTTGTTCAGAATTCTCTCTCTCTCTCTCTCTCTCTCTCTCTCTCTCTCTCTCTCTCTCTCATATATATATGTAATGCACACACTTAACCCCCTGGAGGCTTTTCTGCACATCTTTAAGGAATACATATAATCATTTCTCTGTTGGGGTCCTGCTTTGTCCTCAGATACTTGTGCGTTGGGGGGGGGGGGGCAACCAAAAAATGATATTCTGGAAATTCCTAATTATAATTTTTTCCATAAATTTTATTATATCCATTGTATCTCTCCAGGCTAACCAGGAACCATGTTTCTGGTACAAACATCAAACTTTACTTCTAGAGGGAATTTTAGGACCCTGAAATACTCAGGCTTCCATTATTTTGTTAAAGAGGGAAGCTCTTCTTTATATTTCAACTTGATCAGTGCTTGGCAACAGCCTTCGCCAGTATACTCCTAAGTCTATAGCAGAGCACAGGGAAGAGGAGCCACGTTGCTTATCTCTGGAGAGGGGGAATTGCAGGAAACAGTAGATTTCTTGCTGTTTCCCTGCACTCCTGAAGCCATGTGAGGAGCTCTTTCATCACGTAAAAGACTATAGAGAATGGTGGACTCATTGGCCATGGATCAAGTTTGGGCCACAGACATTAGCGTTTTCCTTAAAAAGTATTTGTCTCGCTGAAGAAAAGCTGTTGAAGGGACTTACTCAGCAAGAAGTCCTGTTCAGATGTGGAAAACCTGGAAAATGTTTTCACAGTAGAACGTCTAAGAAGTCAAGTCCTTTCTGCAGCAGATGTGATGGCAATGAACTGGCCTTCCTAGAGCTCATAGACTGGGTTTTTTAAAGAAACTAACAGAAAATTGGGCACACATAGCGCTCCTTCAGTCCTCTGTCATGATGAACTAACTTGTATTGTTAAATAGATATTTTACCCAAATAATACACAGCTGTATTCAAGAGAGACTATTTTTTTATTATCTATCCTGCCTAAGAGAATCTGTCACTAATTTGAGTATAGATAAAAAGGGTTATTTTTGCATAGATGGTGGACTTGGCCCCTTGCTACATTTGCCTGTGAATATAAATAATGCATTACACACATTGGCACACTTTGTATGTGTCGTCAGACTCTTAATTTAGTTTTGATGGCACTGCATCCAAGAAGAGCAGCAAAATTTAGTCTTTTTTTCCCTGAATTATCATTCATAGAATGATATAGCACAGCTAATTTTAAAGGTGTTTGGACAGTGTGTATGGCAACAAATCAGCAATTCTGGATATATTAAATATCTTAACTAAAAGGACTTGGTAAAGCTTTATCCCAGTCTTGTTAACCACACCTGTGTATACTTAAAGAATTAAAAAATCTGAAAATGCACAGTTGTGTTGTCATGGAAGGTTCTGTATTCAAACGCAGTTGCTTTGTATTAATCCTGATTTCTCTAAGGTTCCCCCCCCCCAATATGTTCTGATTTAAACTTAAAAAAATATATTCTCAGCAAATAATAAAACCTTCCCATTACAAGAAAATAAAAAAAGAATAAAAGTCACTGGCTTATACTGATAAATCATATGCGTAACATGCCCCAGTCCTTTAGTGTGTTCTGATGCACATGACAGAGTTGTGCTGGGATGTTGCCCTCATTTGTGATGCTGGAAGTGTGCAGATTTCCGTGCACAAAGGAATTTGCCCTCTGATCCAGTTCCTCTATTGAAATTGGCAGGGAAGGATTGGTGAGCAGAGGAGCAAAATGTGGATCTGAACGCCAGCACGAAGAGAAAACGGATGGGTTTTTTAATTGATTGAAGAATACACTTCAGTTACTACTTTCAGTAAAGTTTGAATTCGTTCATTTTAAAGACTGAAAAGTGTAGTGGAGTAAAATTAAACCGAGCTTACCACAGTGGTTATACATGGCACACACCACAGTTTAACAACTTTGTGTATTAAAAATAGTATAAGCAACAGGATGTATTGCCAAAGTTTTTGGGTGTCAGCTTAGCATACAATCAAAATAGAGCTTTTCTTCCCCTTTAAACAAACAAAAAAACCACAGAGCCTCTGGATAACTTTTAAATATCTTTTTTGCTTGTAGGGTTCTTTAATGAAAACAAGTAAGGGTGGGTTTTATATTTTGTAGAGATTTTTTGTCCTATATGAATCCTCTTTGTATGGCAATATGTATATAGTGTGTTCAGTTCCTTTCAGATTCTGGGGAAAAACAAACAAACTTGGAAGTAATTGATTTTTGTGCAACTGTGTTTTGAAAAAGCCATGACAGTGTTAAATAAAACAAACCCCTACAGCACACTTCTGATGATTTTAGTTGTAACAAAATGTGAGTGTTTTCCCCCGTGTGATGTAAATTTTAAATTAAAGATTTTCAATCTGAAAAACGGAGGGTAAGAGTCTGCATTTACTGTTCAACGGTTATGCTTCCAAAAAGGTCTTTTGTTTTTAAGGGGTTCTGGGACTGATTGATTCATGGCTCAAATGAGCCTGCCTGCGAGCCGTACTTTATATATTTGGATATATTTGAATTTTAAAAGAAATTTTATATTTGAATTTTAAAAGAAACGACAACTGAGGGGTGACATGATTGAGGTTTATAAGATTATGCATGGGAAAGAGCAGGTAGAGAAAGAGGTGCTTTTCTCCCTTTCTCACAATGCAAGAACTCGTGGGCACGCCATGAAATTGCTGAGTGCTCAGGTTAGAACGGATAAAAGGAAGTCCTTCTTCACCCAAAGAGTGATGAACACTTGGAATTCACTGCCACAGGAGGTGGTGGCAGCTACAAGCATGGATGGCTTCAAAAGGGAATTAGATAAGCACATGGAGCAGAGGTCCATCAGTGGCTCTTAGCCACAAGGTATAGATAGGGCCTCTGGGGCAAGTGATGCTCTGTCTTCTTGGTGCTTGGGGGGGGTCAACAGTGGGAGGGCTTCAAATGTCCTGGCCCCACTGCTGGACCTCCTGATGGCCCCTGGTCTTTTTGGCCACTGTGTGACAGAGTGTTGGACTGGATGGGCCATTGGCCTGATCCAACATTGGCATCTCTTATGTTCTTATGTTGCTTATTTTCCCAATCAGTATTTAAACTTTAAAAAAAAATTATGATGCATTCCAAGCCAAATCGTTAAATGGGGGTTGCTTAATTGCATTCGTGGATTCTGGTTTTTGTTTTCTGTGTGTGTGTGTGTGTGCATATGAGTGTGTGTGCAGCTGGAAGTCATGGCGACCTCTGGTGACCGACCCCTACTGGGGGCCTGGCGGATATTCAGAAAGGTGGCTGAATCAAGCCAACTCCTGGCCTCTCGTATTTCAAGGAGTTCTCCTATCCAAGTACTTGCCAGAGTCGCCCCTGCTTAGTTTCCGAGATCTGGCGAGATCAGGGGGCTACCCGTGTCAGGAAGTTCATGGATTCTGTTGAAATGTTGCAGAGTTGTGTGTGTTGGAATGTATTTGTAGATAAAAGTTGACGCAGGGCTCTTTTTGTAGAAAAAGCCCAGCAGGGACCTATTAGCATAATAGGCCACACCCAACAGCAGGAACTCATTAGCATATTAGGCCATACCCCTGACAGCACAGCTCATTAGCACATTAGGCCGCACCCCCATGTTACCAGAAGTGTGCTCATCTAGCCACACCCACCTTTTGCTTCTTATTCTGTTTACCTTGTTTGTTGTCCAAACCCAGGGCCTTTTTTTGTAGCAGGAACTCCTTTGCATGTTAGGCCACACACCCCTAATGTAGCCAATCCTAATGAGTTTCTGCTGTTGGGTGTGGCCTATTATGCTAATGAGTTCTTGCTGGGCATGGCCAACTTGGGAGCCAGCCAGAATTCCGTTCCTGTGCGTTCCTGCCCAAAAATAGCCCTGAAGTTGAGAAAATTTGATCTACACTACAAAAAAAACTGGGCAAGGTCACATTTTTATTTATTTATTTATTTATTTATTATGGGATTTCTATCCCGCCCTACCCAGTGGCTCAGGGCGGCTAACAGCATACAGATACTAAAACAATAAAATACGTTTTTTTAAATACAATAAAAACTGGTGCTTCAGTCTATATAATCTATACCATTTACAGATACTCGGCGATTATTTGCTGAGCCTGGTGGAAGAGCTCCGTCTTGCAGGCCCTGCGGAACTGCACTAGGTCCCGCAGGGCCCGGATCTCCTCCGGGAGCTCATTCCACCAGGAAGGAGCCGCCACCGAAAACGCCCTAGATCTCGTGTGGGCCATTGAGCGCGGGGAACTCTAGGGATATTCTTCTTGCCAACAGAGTAGACTGCCAACGGCAGTCATCTAGACCTTATTTTGAAGCTCAGAATTCTATTGGATGTATAGAGATACAGGTCTAATATCCCTGGAAACTAAAATGACTAAACTGAGGGTGTTGTACTTTGGTCACATATATCTATAGGGTTGCCCGCCTCCAGGTGGGGCCTGGGGATCTCCCGCTTTTACAACTGATCTCCAGCTGATAGAGATCAGCTCCCCTGGAGAAAACGGCTGCTTTGAAGGGTGGACCGTATGCAGGGGTCATTTCGTAGAAAGAGGCGCAGGAGCTCATTAGCATAACTCATTTGTGTATGCCACACACCCTGACATCACCGGAAGTGTGTCAGAAGGCAGTGCCCACCGCTCAGGCTCCACTGGACTGTTTTGGATTGCTAGAAGAAGAAGAGATTAGATTTATACCCGCCCTTCACTTGGAGTCTCAGAGCAGCTTACAAACTCCTTTCCCTTCCCCTCCCCACAACAGACACCCTGTGAGGTGGGTGGGGATGAGAGAGCTCTGACAGAAACTGCTCTTTTTCAAGGACAGCTGTGCCAGAGCTTGTGACTGACCCAAGGTCACATCAGCAGGTACAAGTGGAGGAGTGGGGGAATCAAACCCGGCTCTCCCAGATTAGAGTCCGCACACTTAACCACTACACCAAACTGGCTCTCTAGCTATTGGGGAGGGGGGAATGTGCAGATCTGTCCTCGCAGAGGAGGGAGAGCTTGTACCTGAATAAAACTTGGTCTTAAATGTGCCACTGGACTGTTTTGGGACGGGGGCGCTGCAACTTACCTAGCTGCTTCTTGCTCTGACTGAGCGCTGCTAGGAGCAGGGAGCGGGACTTGTTGCATGTGCCCGCCCCCTGGGCTCTTTACTGCCGGAGCTCCGCTCCTGCAGGAAATGATCTCTGACCGTAAGGCATTGTACCATGCTGAGACCCCTCCCCAAACCCCGCCCTCTCCTGGATCCACCCCCAAAGTCTCCAGGTATTTTCCAACCCAGACCTGGCAACCCTACATATATCAGAAGACGAGACTCACTAGAGACAATGATGCTGAGAGCAGTTGAAGGCAACAGGAAAAGAGGAAGACCCAACAGGAGATGGATTGGGTCAATCAAGGAAGCCACAAAGGCCCTCAGTTTGCAAGATCTGAGCCAGGCTGTGAACCACACTACATTTTGGAGGTCATTAATTCATAGGATCACTATAACTTGGAAGCATCTAATGTCAGTGTATATAAAAAGAATTGATTGGAATATCAGAATATTTCTTAGAGTTGCTAAACAGCCTAGGCCCCTCAAACAAGTGCATCTTGAACAATATGGCGTTTTGTGCAACATGACAACGAGGTACGTGAAAGTTCTGCAATTCGCAGAAATGCGGCAGCCTAAAACGTGCATGAAGATATCACAATGAAGTATGATGGGTGAACTAATCACCAGCAGGTGAACTGGCAGAACTGTACTCATTAGTGGATTTACTTGCAAACAGAAGTGTCGGTGCCGGTGTGCTCTGAGAGTTTGGGAAATTTCCTATAAACGTTGGCCATTAGCCAACTGATGCCTTTCTACTGAGTTTGGCATGCCATACACTACCCATTTGAACAAGACTGAATTTCAGAACGCATTTTTCATGACTGTTGTAGACAGGGCTCTTTTTATAGAAAAAGTCCAGCAGGAACCCATTAGCATAATAGGCCACGCCCAACAGCAGAAACTCATTAGCATATTAGGCCACACCCCATAGACCACACCCAACAGCAGAAATCCATTAGCATATTAGGCCACACCCTGACAACACAGCTCATTAGCATATTAGGCCGCACCCCCATGTTACCAGAAGTGTGGTGATCCAACCACACCCACCTTTTGCTTCTTATTCTGTTTACCGTATTTGTTGCCAAAACCCAGGGCTTTTTTTTGTAGCAGGAGCTCCTTTGCATGTTAGGCCACACACCCCTAACGTAGCCAATCCTAATGAGTTTCTGCTGTTGGGTGTGGCCTATTATGCTAATGAGTTCCTGCTGGGTGTGGCCAACTCGGGAGCCAGCCGGAACTCCTTTCCTGTGCGTTCCTGCCCAAAAATAGCCCTGGTTGTAGATAAACAACATCGCCTTGTGTGGTCATGAGAATGAGCACGGTAGATTTTGAGTGGCTGCCTCTGCTGCCAGTAATAGAATGTGTGTGTGTGTTTAAATACATTCCACACCTATATAATGACTGCAAAATTTCAACAAAACTTACAACTATTAATACACACAATGCGTACCAAATTGTTTATCATTATATCAGTATATCATCATTTCAGAGCCTTTTTCTAAAATCAAAAATGAGAGTGGGGGGGAGGGAGTGGTTTGACGATGAGGACAGTCCGGAGGGGGCAACAGTGGGTGGGACAAAGAAAACCAACAGAAGCATTAAAGGTAAAGGTTTCCCTTGCTCGGAAGAAGAAGAAGAAGAGATTGGATTTATTCCCTGCCCTTCATTCAGAGTCTCAGAGCGGCTTACAAACTCCTTTCCCTTCCCCTCCCCACAACAGACACCCTGTGAGGTAGGTGGGGCTGAGAGAGCTCTGATAGAAACTGCTCTTTCAAGGACAGCTCTTGTCAGAACTATGGCTTGTCCAAGGTCATCTAGCAGCTGCAAGTGGAGGAGTGGGGAATCAAACCCGGTTCTCCGCACACTTAACCACTACACCAAACCGGCCAGTCGAATCCGACTCTAGGGTTGCGGTGCTCATCTCCGTTTCCAAGCCGGAGAGCCAGCGCTGTCCGAAGACGTTTCCGTGGTCATGTGGCCGGCATGACTAGACGCCGAGGGGCACGGAACGTGGTACCTACTTATCTATTTGCTATTTCTTGCTTTAGAAAGGCTAGGTTGGCAGGAGCTGGGGGACAGAAACGGGAGCTCACTCCATCACGCGGCACTCGAGTCTCGAACTGCCAAGCTACTGATCTTCCGGTTTGCAGCTCAG